GTTCGAGAAAGTTAAGCAAACCCGAATAAAGAAACCGACCTCGGCAAAAATTTGACTATAAACAGATAGCACTTTTCTTCTTTCCTTTTTTCCTTCTTACGCAGTTTCAAGAGCCATAGTCGAGCTTACTCTTCACTTCAGGGCGGAAGTAACCCCATTCTGTAGGGTCACTGGTTAACATTTTTAATTTGATTTAGAAAGAAAAGTTTATGGTAAAAGATGTTGAAGTCGAAAATACTTTAATAAAGACTAAATTTAATAATATTAATTTTGGTCCTTGCTAGTCAGGCAAGTAAAGAGGTTGTATTTTTTTCTATCAAAGCCACGCTGCCTCCCGTAAAATTTTTTAGATTAAGTACTTAAAAATGAATGCCCCGTGTGAGGATCGAACTCACGACCTTCAGATACCTAATTAGATTATGAGACTGACGCGCTGCCTTCTGCGCTAACGAGGCGGTTGAATGGAATGGATTGCATGTGGCTTCATGATTTGGCATTTACCACAGATTAAACTGCATGATACTATCTATGATGATTGACTAACGGTTACAGTTTTCCAATGATATTATATCTTATTTACCTATCTATTTATTTATCATTTCAACTTATCACGAATGTTCCCTTCGGGCGGAGCATCAACACTTTTTTTTTCCTCCACAACTTGACTAAACGCATTAATTTAAATCAGGCTTGGCTGTAAGATCTTTGCTGGAGAGATTGAAGGAGCAAGGTGTAAACATGCGACTCGTTCATACTACCCAGACTTCTGCCGTTTCATGAGAGCACGCAATCAACAGGAAGGTATCATGAGATTGCACGTCATGGTGGGCTTCAGTCTGAATTGAGGGTAAAGCCGTAAAAAACCGTAAATCGGTGATGGCCACATGACAATATCAAAAAAGGCAGAAAATATTCCAAAGATTTTTGAAGTTCGCTATAGTTCCATTTGATAGAGTGAGCTATCTAAAGTAAAAGATAGTAAAAAATATCTTTAACAAACTAAAATATACCAGTGTTATCGCCCGGTATGGGACTTGAACCCATGACCCTCAGATTAAAAGTCTGATGTTCTACCGACTGAGCTAACCAGGCGACTCGTTTTTCGTTATGTATTGCTCTCATTGAACGCCTGGTCGCAAGTTTTTTATTCAAGCTACTTGAAACTCTTTACATAACTATATGAGAGAACTCAATAACGGAGATCAAGTTGCTGTGGTCGGACCATTGTTTGAAAATAACACAAAACAAGCTTCAACTGCATCGTCCATTAAACTGTAGAGGAAAAAATATCCGACTCCCTAACACTAATCAGACTTCTGCCGTTAAGTGGAAAGCTTAACTTTCTCGAACTCTCCCAACCCCCTCCTCGTGTTTAAATGAGAGTATGTAAACACGGAAAAAGTTCCCCATTGCTA